GCTGTGCATCAGACACAGGGAGGTTCTCCTTGTAGACTCCCTGTTCCCTCAGAGTTGTGGGTCCCCAAGCCTTACGGAGTTCCCATGTATTAGAGATCCAAATTTAAGGGCTAAAACTAGAAAACTTCGAGTAAAACAGGTGTAAATCTTCATGACCTTGGCTGAGGCAACAACCAAAAGCATAAGAAACTGAAGAAAAAATAAACTTCATTAAAGTTGAAAACATTTGCACTTCTTGAAACTATCAAGAAAATGAAGGGCCAGCCGAGTGGCTCAGTTGGTTAAGAGCTTGCTTAAGAGTGTGAGCTCTGAGCAAAAGAGTCGCCAGTTCGATTCCCACATGGGACAGTGAGCTGTGCCCGAGCTGAGCTGCTGCTGAGCTGCCAACAGGTGGCAGGATGGCTCAGCTGGTGAGAGCACATGATTCTAACAACGAGGTTGCCTGTTAGAGATGGTGGGCTATGCCCGCCCGCAACTGAAGACTGAACACAGCACCTTAAGCTGAGCGGCGTGACTGTACTTGGAGCTGAGCTTGCTGTGCCCTCCACAACTAAGATTGAAGGACAACAACTTGGCTGTTCCCCTTCCCCAATTCCCCAACACTTCCCTTTCCCCAATTCTCCAATAAAACCTTAAAAAAAATGAAATGATACACAGAATGCGAGCACATATTTGCAAATCATATATCTGGTACAGTTGTAATAGCTAGAATATACAAAGCATCTTTGCAACCCAACCACAACACAATTTTTTTAATGGGCAAAACATCTGAAGAATCATTTCTCCAAAGAAGATATATAAATGTCCAATAAGTATATGAAAAGATGTTCAACATAACTAGTCCTTAAGGAATTGCTCATTAAAACCACAATGAGACACCATTTCACACCCAATAGGCTGGCTAGAAATAAGCGCTGGTGAGGATGTAGAGAAACTGGAACCCTCGTACATTACCGGTGAGGATGTAAAATGGTGCAGCATGGTGAAAAACAGTTGGGGAGTCCCTCAAGTTCAAACAGAGTTACCAAATGACCCAGCAATTCCACTCTTAGATACATATCAAAAAAAAAGTGAAAACACACATCCACACATAAACTTAGACACACCACTGTTCAGAGCAGCAGCATTCATAATAACCAAAAAGTAGAAACAACCCAAAGGTCCATCAACTGAGGAATAAATAAAATGTGGTGTATCAACAGAAGGGAATAATATTCAGCAATAAAAAGAATAGAGTTGTTACATGCTACACCATGGATGAACCTTGACAACATTATGCTAAGTGACAGAAGCCAGACACAAAAGGCTATATATTCTATGATTCCGTTTACATTAAATATTCAGAGTAAACAAATCCAGGGACAGAATGTAGATGAGTGTTTGCCAGGGAATGGGAGGAAAAGGGGGAGGGGACTGACTGTTAATGAGTTCAGAGTTTCTTCCGGGGGTGATGACAATGTTCTGGAATTACATAGTGGAAATGATTGTATAACTGTGAATATTCTAAAACCACTGAATTGTATACTTGAAAAGGGTAAATTTTATGGTATGTAAGTCATATAATGTTTTTTTTCATTGTAAACAGAGAAGCCCACAGAATGGGAGATAATTTTTACAAATCACATACATGATAAGGGATTAATATCCAGAATATATAATGAACTCTTACAAGTCAACAACAAAAACATAACCTGATTTTTTAAATAAGCAAAGAATTTGAACAGACATTTCTCCAATGGAGATATACGAATGGTCAATACGCACAAGAAAAGATGCTCAACATCAGTTATTAGGGAAAAGCAGATCAAAGCCACAATGAAAGACCACTTCACACCCACTAGGATGTCTATTACTAAGAAAGAAAGAAAAAAAAACCAGAAAATAAGTGTTGGAGAGGATGTAGAGAAATTGGAACCCTTGTGCACTACTGGTGGGAATGGACAATGGTGCAGCTTCTGTGGAAAACTGTATGGCAATTCCTCAAAAAATTAAAAACAGAATTACCAAATCATCAAGCAATTTCACTTCCAGGTATAATCTATACCCCAAAGAATCAAAAGCAGGTCCTCAAAAGATACTTATACACCCATGTTCACAGCAGCATTATTCACAGTAGCCAATAGGCGGAAACAACCCAGTGTCCATCAGCAGATGAATGGATAAGCTAAATGTGGTCTCTCCATCCAATGGAGTATCATTCAGCCTTAAAAAGGAAGGAAATTCTGACACAGGCTCCAACATGAATGAACCCGAGGACACTATGCCAAATGAAATAAGCCAGTCACAAAAGAACACATACCGTGCTTACACGAGGTAGGTAGAGCAGTCAAATTCATACACAGAAAGTAGAGGGGTGGCTGCCAGGGGTACAGGGAAGAGAATAGAGAGTTACTGTTTAGTGGGGACAGAATTTCAGTTGGGGAAAATGAAAAAGTTCTGGAGATGGATGGTGGTGATGGTTGTACAAGAATGTGAATGTACTTAATGCCACTGAACTGTACACTTAAAGATGGTTAAAATGGTCAATTTTCTGTTATTCTATCATACACGCACGGAGTGGAGAACATAACAAAGCCAAATGTTAACAACGGGAGAATCTGGAGGAAGGTGTACAGGAGCTCTTTGTACAGTTTTTATGACTTCATTGTAAGTTTGAAGTTATTTCAAAATAAAAAGTTTTAAAAAATTAATATGTCCCAAACAGAACTTCCGATCTTTCCACAAACCTGCTCCTTCCATAGCTGACCCGTCTTATTAATAGAAAATGGGGGGCGGGGGGCGGCCGAGTGGCTCAGTCGGTTAAGAGCGCAAGCTCTGAGTAACAGGGTCGCAGGTTTGATTCCCACAAGGGCCAGTGAGCTGCACCCGAGCTGAGCTGCTGCTGAGCTGCCAACAGGTGGCGGGATGGCTCAGCTGGTGAGAGCACATGCTCCTAACAACAAGGTTGCCAAGTTCCACTCCCGCATGGGATGGTGGGCTACACCTACCTGCAACTAAGACAACACAGCACCTTGAGCTGAGCAGCCACGAGCTGCCAACGGGAAGCCAGATGGTAACTGGACTTGGAGCTGAGCTAGCTGCACCCTCCACAACTAAGATTGAAGGACAACTTGGCTGCTCCCCAATAAAAATCTTTTTAAAAATCTTAAAAAAAAAAAAAAGGCAGTTCTACTTCTCTACTTGCTCAGACCAAAGCCCTTGCAGTCATCCTTGACTCTTTCACACACATTCCAATCTTTTTTTTTTTTAAGATTTTTATTGGGGAATTGGGGGGAGGGGAACAGGGCTGGGGAATTGGGGGAAGGGGAACAGAGAAAAGTTGCTGTTCTTTTGTTCTTCAGTCTAGTTGTGGAGGACGTTGCTTCACTGGCCCAAGTTGGCATCATCATTGCGCTCTTCCCAGGCGAGGCAGATCAGTCGCCGGCTTCTGGACGGCAGCTCACGGCGGCTGCTGGCCACTCACGCTGGCTGCTGGCTACATACTGTAGCCCATGGCAACCCACTGCCACAGGAGCTGCAGCCTACACCGTCGCCGGTGACTCACAGCAGCCCAACTCCAGGTTGAGCTGTTGTTCAGCATCTTAGCTGTGGAGGGCAGTGTCACTGGTCCTCATATGTGGGATCCGAACTGGGGCCTCTGGCGTCCCAAGCCAGTTCTTAACCATCGCGCCACTGGGCTGGCCCTCTAATCCTATTTTTAACACAACACACAGAGGGATTTGGTAGAAACATAAGCCTCATCATGTCACCATTCTGCTCAGAACTCTGTATTACGGTGGCCTCCAAGAGGCCACAGGCTTGGTCCCTGCAGCTTCTCAGCCCTCATCTGTCTCCCTCCCTCCCCACAGTCACACTGACCTCTCGCTGCCCCTTAACCAGGAGCTCTGTACAAGTTGTACAAGACCTACAGGTCTGCCCACATGACATTTCCCCGGAGGCACCTCCACACACACACACCCCGTATTCTCTCTCCCCTCACCCTGCTTTATTCTCCTTCAAGGCACTTTTACTCTCCAAGCCACGTAGCTACTTGTTCATGGTATTTCTCTCTACCAGTTGCTTTCTGAGTGCGATGACTTTAGTTCATTGCTGTTGCCCCATCACCCAGCACAGTGCCTGGCAGGTAGTAGGTGTCAGTTAATATTTATAGAATAATTGGGTGTTGGAAAATTCCCTTGGGAACGTCTGTGTTGGACCAAAGGGGACTGGAAAAGAAAGTTGGGGTGGAGTCCAGGTACGGGCTGATGGGTAAGGTGTTCCTTCAGGGGTCAAAATGATGGACAGGACCTGATGCCTGACTGGGGAGGGGCAGGGAGGGGTCTGTCCTCCCAGACTCCAGCGCTGCGATGCAGGCCAACAAGACGTGGGTAGGGGGAGCTGCCACCGCCAGGACGCACCCGTGGTCCTCCTGCCACTCCCGCCGGTGCCGCGGTGCTCCGTGGCTCTTTCACTGAACCCTCACCACCACCCTCCCATTTACAGGTGAGGAAACTGAAGGCAGTTGGAGAGAATGACTTGGCTGAGGTGGACCGTACTCAGCGTGGTGCAACCCAAACGCCCTGTGCGCCCCACACCGGCAGGGGCCTGGCCTCCTTTGTGTGAGGACAGCGTGTCCTTTCGGACGTGCCTCTTCTCTCTGGGCTGGAAAAAAGCCTTACTTGGCCTGGTGGAAGGAAGGCTTCCCCGGGGAACCGGCGCCAGGCAGCGGGGCGTTGCGGGGGAAAGCTGGGGGTGAGGTCTGAGAACTGCATGTTCTGCCTGCCTCGCTGAAGAGGAAGGGACGGCGCAGATCAAGTCCCCCTCCCCAGGCTGTCCGAACCTCCCACTCATCCCATCACCTCCCCGTGCCTGCAACAGGGGAGGCCTTCGCTGGGATCAGGGGAATCACTGGGAGCGCCCCGACCTCCCAGCCAGTGGGTGGAGGCCAAATAAGGCCGGGCGGGCTGCCGAGGCCCCGCCCCGCCGCGCACACATTCTTCTGCCTTGTAAGGCCGGGCGCCGCGCCCCGCCCCCGCCCAGCCCAGCTCCCCAACCGACCGCGCGCTCCGCGCCCCGCACCGCGCCGGGCTCCGCACACGGAAAGAGCGTCTTCTCCCTTCTCCGTACCAGGTGGGAGCCGCCGGCTGACCCAGGTGGTCTAGAGGAGGCGGTGTGACGGCTGGGGCTGGAACTTGGGGCAGGTCTCACGGACGAGGATATTGGAGGGTTTCTGAGCAGGGACAGCGGTCGTGGGGCTGGGGCAGCGAGGTGGCACGGGTCCCATAGGGATTCTAGCCGGGGCTGGGGCCGGGCGGCAGAAAGACTGTTCCTGGGTCCAGGAGCCAGTGGTCCTTTGGCAACGTAAGTGTCCAGGCCCTGCCCCTTTGCTGTGGAGTTAGAGACGCCAAGCCCAGAGCTCTGGGATGCCCGGGAGGAGAGAAGGGGGTTTGTAGTCGCAGGGGTTCCCTTCCCCAGTAGACCCATGTGTGTCACAGACAGGAAACCGAGCCGTGTCAGGCTCCTTAAAACTCCTGGGCATCCGTGTGGATCCCGCCTCCCTTCCCCAACTTCCCGGTGCAGGGGAGGGATGGATGGGGTAACCTTGCCCGTACACCAAGGCTATGTGCCACTCACAGGGCTTCCCTACCCTGGGCCATCTGCCATCAATGCCTGTTGGGTGGGGAAGGTCTGCCAAGGACCCTGGGAGCTCAGCCCTGGGGGGTCAGACAGGAACCTGGGCTGGGGGAAACTCCTGCCCTCCTCCTCCCCGCCCGCTAGCTACTCAGATGCTCTCAGGAAAGAGACGCCTCAGCCTCAGGTGAGGTAAGTTCAAAAGCAAGGCATCTGGCACTGCCAGCCACCAGGACCATGAGGTAACGCAAGTGGGACACAGGTCTCGTCTTTGCTGTCATGGTGGGATTCCAGGAACCTAGTTACAGCCCCGCGGAATACCAGCTGTATCTGATCCCCTGGGGTCTAGGACCCCCCAGTAGGGGCAGGCGCTGGCTCCAGGGTTAAGGGCCCAGTCTATTTCTGATCCCAGTCCCTCAACCAAGCCTACCAACTGCCTCTGGTCAGAGCCCTCAGCTGCCACAGACCCAGCATGAGCCTCTTATGATAGCTGTTTCCTTCCATGTTTAGTCCTTGAGGACACCAAGGGCCACTTGCTACCCACTGACCCAAGCCTAACCCAGGGGTCCTGGCTTCTGATTGGACTCTGCCCCTCTCACGGGCACGCCACTTCCCTTCTTGGGCCTCAGTTCTTTTAACTGCATGATGCGGGGCACCCCACCTTCCCCGCCCTATTTGCCAAGATTGCTGGGATGGACAAACTATCAAGTTCCGTGCTCTCAGCCGTGTCACATACTGCCCCCCCCCCCAGATAGAGAGGGCAGGGATGAGGCAGCCATGGAGGCAGAGGGGCCCAGCCAGTGTCAGAGCAGTGGGTGAGCTCCTGGCCCTTCCTGCCTCTGGCCACGGCTTCCTCCTGGCCATGTCCGCCCTAGAGCTTTGCAGACATCAGTGATGATGACCATCACAGCCTCTGCTGGGTACAGTAGACTTCTCCTCGGCTGCCTTCTGTGGGTGCCATGAGTCAAAGTCCTTAGAGAACATCAGGCTCAGAGAAGGAGGACTGGGCTCCATGCTAAACCACTAAACCACAGGAGAGACTGGCACTCCCTGCACTCAGATCATGGAAAAGGGCTTTTGCCCACCGACCCTAGACCATGTGAAAAACATCGAGGGCCAGGTGTGTGTGTGAGTGGGACACAGCAGCCAGTGTCCCATGACTATAGGCAGCTGTGGCCCTGGGAAAGGGCTGGGGCTGGCCAGGATCCCAGCTCAGGTCTCAAAGGCCAAAGCCCGAGAATGACTCATGGGATAGAAGCCTGGAGACAGCTCGAGGAACACTCACAACCACACAATTTGGGGTAAAAAACAGGCAGAGAAAGCTTTTTGGCGACCCTGGACCAAGGGGCTCAGGATAGAGGAAAGAGAGGGCAGCAGTCCTGGGGCCTCAGCCAGGCCCACAGCTTCCCGAGCCGAGGGACACAAGGTGTTCAGGGGCACAGTCCCCACAAGCCATGACAAGGGTTCAAGGAAAGAGCCCCTTGCTGGGCCTCAGTTTCCCCATCTGTACAGTGTAGACTGGCCGCCGTTATTCATTAAACAAGCATCTATTAGCCCCAGTGTGGGCTTTGGTATAAAGCGGGATTTACACCAGCCCGACTGATTGTGAGGGAGAGACCTTTAAGTGCTTAGTGTCAAAGCAAAGGTGGAAAAACTTCCTCAAGGGAGTAAGTATCTCAAGAACTGAGCCCAGAAGGAAGGGCATCCCAGGGGGAGGGACCAAGAAGGAAAGTCTGAGGGTATCTAGGGAACAGCTAACAGTCCAGCTTGGCAAGATCACAGAGGGCAGGGCAGACAGGTGCGATGGTCAGGCAGAGAGAAGGGCCTTGAATGCCAGGCTGAGGGGCCCAGACTTGCGCCAGGTGGTGGCAGGAACCTTTGAAGGCTTCAAGGTAAAGTGACAGGTGCAGGTCTGGGTCTGTATGGGATGAGAGAGACAGGCTGGAGGCTCGGAAGCCAGGTCTAAACAAGGGTGACAAGAAGGCGGGGTTCTCAGCCTGGGGGAGCCTCATGCCCCTCTAAGCACTGAGGGGTGAGAACCAGAAGTAGGACCCAGATCAGATCTGTCACCCACCTCGGGGCTGGTCAAGTGTGGGCAGCTGGGGGGAGGGGCCTTGCAGAACCTCCAGGGCAGGGAACTGAGAGGGATGGGGAGGAAGAGGAATGTCAGGAATGCAGGGCCGCTGACCTAGCTCCTTCCTACTGTGGGGGCGAGACAGGGAGCCTCAGAGCCTCCCACATGTCGACCCATCTTGTCACATGGAGAGAGGCATGGACAGTGTGTAAATGCTATTAAGGGTTAGAGGAGATAAGCACGGAAAAGGCTGGCATGGAACACAATCCTAAGCGTTTTACCCAAACAGCGACAATAGCTTACTCCGTGCCGGACGCTATTCCAGGGCCTTCTTGGGCACTCAGTCAATCAATCTCTACTGCTGGGGCCTCCTCCTGTGCCCATTCCCAGATGAGGAAACTCACTCAGAGAGGCAGAGGAAGCTGTTTAAGGCCTGGCGTGTCTGCCTGAGATGGGTGGCAGGAGTCCCCAGCCTGTGGGAGGCATTCAATGCCAGGCCCAGGCACTGACAGCGGGTCTGGGGTAGGCAGGACTCCCTGGCCCTGGGTCACAGGCTCTCCCCCTACACCCACTTCTTGCAGGGAAGTCCCACCCACCTGAAGCCAAGATGTCCAGTAAACGAGCCAAGGCCAAGACCACCAAGAAGCGGCCGCAGCGGGCCACATCCAATGTCTTCGCCATGTTTGACCAGTCCCAGATCCAGGAGTTTAAGGAGGCTTTCAACATGATTGACCAGAACCGAGACGGCTTCATCGACAAGGAGGATTTGCATGACATGCTGGCCTCACTGGGTGAGCTGGGGGCAGGGGTAGGTGGGATTTGAAGGGGCCTGGGAAGGGCTGCAACATCCCTTACTGGGCACTTCCTGTATAGTGACATGTGGTACCCACCCTGAGTAGGAAGTGCCATTACTTTCCCCATTTAACAGATAGGGAAACTGAGTCACAGAGCAGTTTGCCGCTGGCTATGAACCAGGGCAGGACTGCCTCAGGCAGAGGTGTGGATTGGGCTGCCCAGTACTATCATTTAAAGACCCGGATCAGTGACTAAAAGGAAGTTTGAACAGTACAGACTTTCTGTTGTACGGATGGGGAAACTGAGACCTAGAGAGGAAGCCAGATGCCTCCTCTCCTTCAGAGGTCACCCGTACCAAGTTCTCAGAGCCTCTTTGACTCCAGGGACTTTCCCAGAATCAGAATCTTAGAGCTGAAAGGGCTCAGGAATCTACTGGGTTGTCAGAAAAGTCATGACGTATTTTTTTCTATGTTTTCGTTGCAAAAATGCATCATGACTTTTCGGACAACCCAATAGTACCACTCACCACTGCTCAGATGGGGAAACTGAGGCCCAGAGGCCAGGCCTCCAGACACCACCGCCCCAGCCTGTGGCCCTGCCTCCACAGACCTCCACACTCAGCCCCAGTTCCTGGCACCCCTTCATCCAGGTAATAGCATCTGGGCCAGACACTGGCTGGGGAAAAGCGAGAGCTTCTGGCAGCAGAGAAGGCAGCCTGTGGGGGTCAAGCCCCGAGCTCTGGTGCTAGACAGGTCCGAGGCAGTCCCTGGCTCTGCCCTTCACAGCTGGGCGGCCCCACTCAGTGCCTGTTTCCCTTCCCTTCCTGTGCAATGGTGACGGGGGCCCTCGTGTGAACCCCCAGGGTGTCTGGTGGGAGGGCTGACATCGGACACTGCTCCCATCCTGGGGACCAAACATCTCCTAGCTTCAGGCCAGGCCCCTTGAAAGTTCCCTCCCCCAGGAGGTCACCTGGCAGGAAGGAGGACTGAGGCCTGGTGAGGGGCGTGGCTGTGGGTCCTGATGTCACAGCTCCTCTCCAGCCTCAGCAGGGTGAGTGCCCTTCTGAGGAGACAGGGACACAAAGACTCCTTCCCATTTTTGAGACAGCACCCTGCACCCAGGGCCCTAAACCCCAGAGACTTGATGACAGCCCTGGGCGTCTACCCAGAAAAACCCGCACTCCTGTTTGTAGCTCATGTTAGTTGGTCCACTAATCAATCATGGCTTTTTGGTTAAGAACATAATCCTCAAGTTAAAAACAAGAACAGCGAATAAGAAGAAGCTCTGCAGGTATTAAATCTTAAATCTCAAAGCAATCCTATTGGGTAGATGTGATTATCATTCCTACTTTACAGATGAGGAAACGGAGGCTCAGAGAGGCTAAGTAATTTGCCCAAGGTCACACAGTTACTAAATGATAGAGCTGGGATTTGAAAACAGAAGAGGCCACAGCTGCTAATCATTATGTGTGTTTTACAACCATTGCCTTCTTCACCTTCATAATTCTCCTTCCTACGAGGCAGGAGAGCCCTAAGCACAGAGCTGGGATTCAAAGCCCGGCCTCTGTGACACCAAACCGCACTGATTTAACCACTTTCAAAACTGTGCCTGGAATCTGGGGCCTGGTTGCCTGGGTTCAAATGCTGGCTCCACTCCTTACTCGCCATGTAACCTCAGACAAGTCGCCTCATCTCTGTGCCTTGGGGTCCACACCTGGGAAGTGGGTGTACAAATGCTGACCTCACAGGTGGGGCAGGTTAAATGCAGTAAGGCACGTGAAGCCCCAGACGCAGTAAGCAGGCAGTGGATGGTGGCTCTTACACTCTGGAGAGCACCACAGGTGCCCAGCCCAGAGGAGGAAACTGCTCCAGGCAGCGAGGGGAACTGGATGGAGGGAGCAGCCAGACAGCTGGCCGCCCAGCGAGATGCTCCGCACTTCGCAAAACTTCCTGTCTCCTATCTATGGATTCTCACACCGGGCTATGAAGGGGAGGGTCAGGGAGGCAGGAGGGGACAGGTGATGACAACAGGCACGAATGCCCCACCCTCTGCAGGAAAGAACCCCACCGATGAGTACCTGGAGGGTATGATGAGTGAGGCCCCGGGGCCCATCAACTTCACCATGTTCCTGACCATGTTTGGGGAGAAGCTGAATGGCACGGACCCCGAGGACGTGATCCGCAATGCTTTCGCCTGCTTTGATGAGGAGGCCTCAGGTCAGCAGCCTCCTGGAGGCCTGGACAGGGCTGGGCCTGAGCACCTTGCCTGGGCGCCCCCATGTATGCCGGGCCGCACGGGGATGTCGGGGCCCCTGCCCACATAGGCCACAACACAAATCACCCACTTGTCGGTTTCCAGTGCCAGAACTATAAAAGACACGCTCTTTTCTCGTTCTCTCCCCCGAAATGCTAGACCCAAACTGTCCACATCTGCCAAGGCTCCCCACTTCTTGACTTCACCTGTTGGTCCAACACACTCTACCTCTGCATTAGACCTTTCCAGAAACCAAACCATTTCAGGCCTTCATGGTCAACAATGTACAGAAACCAGCCGCCATCCTCAAGTCTTCCAAAGGACTCCCTGGCCCATAGTTAGTTTTTCCCAGGGCCAGGCCAGAGTGACAATGGCAGGAGGAGTTTCAGTAGTTTCTCGGAGGCCACAGGCCTATGTATGCTAAGGACATTTTCCTGACTACTTTCACAGTCCGCTGACCAGGCTGGCATTATTTTCATCCCCATTTTCCAGTTCAGGCACAGAGAGCGCAAGTAACTTGCCCAAAGTCACACAGCTAGGAAGAAGGGTGATCAGTATTCAAATCCAGGCAGTAGATCTCAGGTGCATGCTCTTAAAACAGGACACACCCAGCCCCCCAACACTGACAGCCCCAGGTTCCTTACAGAGACACCTCCAGACAGTCTCACTGCAGGACTATTCCTTCTGGGGCCCTGGCAAGCTCAAACTGACCAGAGACTAGGGCTGTGTCTTTTCCTGCCCGCCCCCCCCCCACAAGTTCTGCAAGGACCAGTGGGGGGCCGAGGGATAGGGGACCTTGGGATGTCCCAGCCTGAGTCCTTGTCTCATGGACCTTGGCCATGCCCCCAGGTTTCATCCACGAGGACCACCTCCGGGAGCTGCTCACCACCATGGGCGACCGTTTCACAGATGAGGAAGTGGACGAGATGTACCGCGAGGCGCCCATTGATAAGAAAGGCAACTTCAACTACGTGGAGTTTACCCGCATCCTCAAACATGGAGCCAAGGACAAAGACGACTAGGCCCCCATCCCCACCCCCCCACGCCCAAGCCCCTGTCCCCGTCACCTACTCCCCACACACAGCTCCGTGCCCATAGGACCCTCTCAGGGGACCCTCTCTCTGAGAGGTTAGGGGCCCAGCTCCCAGTAGAGGAAACGGGCCAACGTGAGGCGGGTGTGCCCACTGTGACCCTCCTAAGAAAGGATCTAGGGAGCTGGGCCTGGAGGCACCAAGGTAAGTCCCCACAAGAGCGCCCAGGCCTCTGCTGTAGCCTGCCCATTCCAGGGCTGTCACAGGAAGGGCCCCATGTCCTGCTCTGGGACACCACTTCACATCCACCCCGTGCAGGGCATGAAAGCCCTTTCCCAGCCACTGCCACAAACACACGAACCTCACCACGATCCCTTCTCGGAGGCAGGATGCCAGAGCCTTCCCCTCCACCCTGAACACCCCCCATCCCACGGGTGTGTGCTCCAGAAGATGATGTAGGGTGCAGCCTGTGCCAAGAGAGGCAGAGTCTCTAATAGAAGGCTGAGCACTGCTTTGGGTCCGTGTGTCTGTGGTCAGTGCAATACGGGCGTCCCCTAGGCCCCAAACACCCTGCCACCCTCTCCTCCCATCACTAGTGGCTGCCCTACCCTCCCCCACCCCAAGGTTCAGCTGAGACCAGACCAGCAATGGGAGTGGACAGAAGTGCTGAGAGAAATGGCCGTCCTGGGAGGGAGGGGGCAGAGTGGCGAGGGCCCACGGGAATCCCCATAGCAAATCTCCATGGGGGGTTCTGAGCCTCTGGAGGGGCAAGGTTCAAGGTCACATAACCTTCAGGACTAGAGCCTGGATCTCCAGGGTCGCCTCAGTGCGCCTAGAAAAATGGAGGCTTTGGGAACAGTGAGGAAGGGACATCCAAGTAGCTCAGGGGTGGCAGGGGAGGGTAGGACTGAACAGGTTTAACAGATTCCTGCCGTCAGCTCCAGGCAGCCGCCAGGGCTGCTCTGGGCTGTACCCTCCACAGCTGAAGGGTCAGTTAGGTCACAGCTTTTCCTATGCCACATGCACACAAGACGGGCAGGGCTGGGGTTCCTGTTAATTAGAATGATGGAGACACTGAAAATAGTGCCTAGGGCATAAGAGGTGCAGAAATATTGGTTCAACAGTGAGCCATGAGGGGCAAGGACTGCCTGAGGTCAGCCAGTGTGTCGGGGGCAGAGGGAGGGCTGGACCCTGGCCTCTGGACCCGCCACGGCGTTCAGGCCAGGGCTGGACACATCCCACCTGATCCCAACAAAGGTCAAGGAGCAGGTGCTGGGCCCAGCGTGGTCCTGCTGCCTTCCCTGAGGGTGACCCAGAGCCAGTCAGCCACAGCACATGGCAAAGGTCCGATATCAGCACCAAAAGGGAGTGCTGAGCACTAAGGGAACCCCGCCATAGCCGAGAAGGCCCTCACTTCCAGCCCCTGACCTGCCCCTACCTTGCTCCAGGCCCTCCCAGCCAGGTCCTGATCAGAGGCCTGTGAAACCCCGCCTCTTGCCTCCAAATTGAGCCCCATGAGTCCCTGATCTCAACTCCAGACAGCTAGCTTCAAACACGTTCCAACCAGGCCCCAAATACTGCCCCAGACTCAGTCTCAGCCATGCCTTTGACCCTGGCCCCAGACTATGGGTCCTGAGTGACCCTCGGCTCAACCCAATGCTGAACCTGGCCACCCACTCCCTGCAGCCGGCCCCGAGGGAGTCCCAGGGCACATGCCATGCATGCCCAACACCAGGGTCACAGGTCTTTCTGCAGAGCCACTGTGCCACCAAAGGCCTTCATGGAAGAAGGCAGGGACATGGTTAGGCACATTGGTGGAGGGATAGGCAAACTGGTCAATGGAACAAAGAGTGCAGAAACAGACCCACACATTTGTGGCACTTGTTAAATGACAACGGTGCTGTATCAGATCAGCGGGGAAAGGAGGGACTCAATAAATGGAGCTGATAGCCACTGAAGGGGCTACAATGAAAAAAAAACTCTCAATACCAAGTAATGGTGAGGGTGAGAATGGGGAGCACATAGAATTCTCACACACTACAGGGGGAGTGCAAACAGGTACAATCAGTTTGGAAACCTTTGGCAATATCTACTAAAGATGAACAGACACCTACTCCAGGACTCAGCAATTCTCCTAGGTATGTACATACCCAACAGAAATGTGGGCACAAGTTCCCCAAAAGGCAGGTGCAAGAATACTCACAGCAGCACCACTGTTTAACAGCCGCATACTAGAAACAATCCAATCTGCCCAACCAATAAAATAAACAAAAAAATGACAGCGAACCACAGCTCCACGCAGCAACATGGATACATCTCAAGCAAAAAAACCAGACACAAAAGAGTACATACACATTCATATCAGGATTCAATTAGGGGACAGAAACCATACTGGTATGTCAACAGAAATTATTTAATATAAACAACTGTTAACTAGGTATAAAGTTTTAATTAGGTAACTGAAAGGGTAAAAAGAACACAAGCAATTTGAAAATATGGGTGGAAATACAAGAAACAGAAAATTTGAATAGATTGACCCACATGAAGAAAGCAAAAATAAAATATTTGCAAATCATATCTGATTAGGGGCTTGTATATAAAGAATTCTCACAAACTCAAGAAAGAGAAATAACCCAATTTGAAAATAAGCAAAAGCTATGAGCAGACATTTCTCCAAAGACGACATGCAAACAGCCAATCGGCAAACTCCAAGATGCTCAACATCATTAGGCACTGGGAAATGGTTGACAATGATGATGATGATGATGATGATGATACTACAGAAAGTAACAAGTGTTGAGGAGGATGTGGAGAAATCAGAACCCTCATACACTGTTGGGGGAAATGTAAAATGGTATAGCTGTTTTGGAAAATAATCTGACAGTTCCTCAAAAAGTTAGACATAGAGTTCCCACATGACGCAATATTTCCTAGGTATACACTCAAGAAAATAAAAACATACTTCCACACAAACTTACACACACAAATGTGCATAGCAGCATTATTCAAAATAGCCCCAAAATAGAAATAGCCAAACGTCCATCCACTGATGAGTGGATAAGTAAATATGGTAGATTCAGGCACTGGAATATTATTCAACATCAAAAAGAATGAAGTGCTGATTATGCTATTACATGGATACACCTCAAAAACACCACCAGGCTATGTGAGAAAAGTCTGTAACAAAAGAACACATATTTCATGCTTCTATTTATATGAAATGTCCAAAATAGGCAAGGGGCTGCGCCCTCCAAAACTAGATTGAAACAACTACTTGACTTAGAGTTGATGGGTCCTGGAAAAACACACTGTTACCCAATAAAATTTCTAAAAAAAAATTCACTCCTGGGGCCAAGTGTGCCATAATGTATGACAACCTATGACACCCTCTTCACAGACAACAGTTTAATTGGCTCTGGCAGGTAAGTCCACTGAGCGTTAGAGATGTGTGCCAAGACTCAAAGCGTATATTCCAAGAAGTTAGACATGACTCTCGGGCATTCTACACAACACCTGACCAGTACTGCTCAAAACTGTCGGGGTCTTCAAAAACGAACTGACAAATTTGGAAACAAGGCAAATACCCTTCAAACGGTAAGTGGATAAACACACTGTGCTACATTCATCCAATGGAANTGAAGCAACATCTTCCACAACTAGACTGAAGAGCAAAACAACAACAACTTGTCTGTTCCCCTTCCCCCAATTCCCCAGCTCTGTTCCCATCCCCCTAATTCCCCAATAAAAAAAAAAATCTTTTAAAAAAAAATTAAAATTAAATACTATCCCCTACCAGAGATAAAGAGGGACATTTTATAATGATTAAAAGGGTATATCCTTCAGGAAAATATAAAAATTTTAAACATATATGCACCTAACAACAGAGCACCAAAATATATAAAGCAAAAACTGATAAAAATGCAGGGAAAAGTAGACAATTTAACAGAAATTGTTGGATGCATCAACACCCCACTTTCAATAATGGATAGAATAACTAGGCAGAAGATTAATAAGGAAATACAAGAAGTGAACACCACTATAAACCAACTACACCTAACAGATATCTATAGAACTCTCCACCCAACAACCACAATACACATTCTTCTCAAGGGCACATGGACCATTCTCTAGGCGAGACCTATGCTAGGCCATAAATCAAACCTCAATAGATTTAAAAGGACTGAAATAATACAAAGTATGTTCTCTGAGCACAACGAAGTAAAATTTGAAAACAATAACAGAAAGAAATCTGAGAAACTCACAAATATGTGGAAATTAGTCAACATACTCCAAAATAACCAATGAATGATACAAAGAAGAAATCACAAGGGAAATTAGAAAATACTATGAAATGAATGAAAATCCCAAAACTTGTGAGATGTAGCTAAAGCAGTGCTTCAAGGGAAATTCATAGCTGTAAATGCTTATTTTTCTTTTTATTTTTTTAAGATTTTATTGGGGAGTTGGGGGAGGGAAACGGCATTGGGGAATCGGGGAAGGGGAACAGACAAGTTGCTGTCCTTTTGTTCTTCAGTCTAGTTGTGGAGGACGTCGCTTCACTGGCCCATGTTG